TTGTTAACTATTAATATCATTAAGGCACAGCTTTCACAGGGCACGTTTGGTCTCTGGCTCTCAGAGGCTCCATCTCTCCTCTAATCGAGGCTGTTACTGGCATCCTCATCCTATAAACATGGAAATCAAGGCAGGCACTGGAAGCCAAAGTGTTTTGTCCAAGGTCATCCCACAGACAAAAGGCAGAGACAGGAGCACAACTCAAAGCATGTCCTGCACCCCAGCACAACGAGAGAGCAAAGTCATCTTCTCACACCACTTATACCATGTTCTTGCATTTGTTTCTAATGAGATTACAATAATTAGTACACAAACATTAATTCACAGGCATCTGGACCGTGTGCCCACAACAGCAGTCAGTGACAAAAATCTTACCAACCTAAGCACTTTGGGTCCTAACCTCTTCCTTCACTGCCTTCCAGTTCCTTGTAACTCTCAGCAACTAAGTATATCTGGGACCTGATTTGTGCAAAAACCGCTGTTGCTCTCATCTTTACGTACTGGACTGTTTTAACCAAAGCATGACACTGCAGAGCACACCGAGTCCTCAGAGCCCACCTGGGTGAAGCGAGCACATCAAGCAGAGTACTATGCTACACGCTTACGCATACGTGTTGGCCAAAACCCACAGTTTTTCTCTACCAGCCCTGAGATCTTCATAGAACGGTTTGGGTTGGAAGAGATCTTAAAGATCATGTAGTTCCAACCCCCCTGCCATGGGCAGGGACACCTTCCACTAGCCCAGGCTGCTCAAAGCCCCATCCAACCTGGCCTTGAACACTGCCAGGGATGGGGCATTCACAGCCTCTCTGGGCAACCTGCTCCAGTGCCTCGCCACCCTCACAGTGAAGAACTTCTTCCCTACGTCTAATCCAAATCTACCCTCTTTCAGTCAAAGCCATTACCCCTTGTCCTATCACTACAAGTCCCCCTCCGGCCTTCCCACAGGCCCCTTTAGGCACTGGCAGGCTGCTGTAAGGTCTCCCCGGAGCCTTCTCTTCTCCGGGCTGAACAGCCCCGACTCCCTCAGCCCGTCCTCAGAGCAGAGGTGCTCCAGCCCTTCGTTCTTCCGAGCAAGCGTCGCCCACGTACGCGCAGGACGCCCGCCCGCCCGCAGGCTGAGGCTCGCCGCCTTCTCCACACACCTTCCCACGCGCGTTTATGTAAGCGGCGAGCGCGCGCCCCCGGGGACCCGCAGCCGCCTCAGCCCTCCCCGCGCTCCTCCTCAGGCGGCCGGAGGAGGACGTGCCCAGAGGAGGAGGGGGGGGGGGAGGAAGGAGGTCCTTTCTCCCACCGGCCCCTTGCGCAGCCAGGCTGCGGTCAGCGGCCCCGGGCAGCTCCAGCCGCCGCGCCG